GTAGATTTTTTTGGATTGTTGCATTTTTGTTGATCAGTTATGATTTTTCAGTCATCTGCTTGAAGAAATATTTTTTTTACTAGGTTTTGTAACGAATAACATAGGCTGTCTTCTGGAAAAAAATAGAAAAAAAATAGCTTATATCTCTTCATGACTGCATATGTTAAAGATAGAAAAAAATAATAAAAAGGGGGTCGAAACACCATATATATATATATATATAGGGGACAATACGTCTGCTTTCTTATTGGAAAAACGATATTGTACATGATTGGCGCATTAAAGTTAAATTATCCTCAATAAGATGACCGAAGTCTATTTTAAATTTTACACCAATCACATTGGTTCATTCAGTTTGAATTTGTCTAGTCTGTTTGAGATCTAAAGCAGTGACGCAACATGAACAAAGATAGAAACGGTCGAAGACTATTCAATGAACTTCTCATTATCTGTCTGACAACGAACAAATCATTTGCCTGTACATCCTTCATACAAGATGAGTCTCGAATTATTGGCTAACGAAATCTTACTAAATTTGTTCGAATATTTCAATGGTGTTGATCTATTTCGTGCTTTCTATGATCTTAATTCTCGTTTCAATAGACTTCTCATTGTTCATTTCCGAATTCATATTTTCGATTTTCACTTGACATCCAAACATGATTTTGATTTGATCTGTCGACAGTATCTTCCATTAATTACCGATCGAATTGTTACTCTTCATCTTTCGAATACTGATGAGACACCATGTCAAATCGATTTGTTTCTATTAGATGACTGTACTTTTCTTCGATTTATTCATTTGCGATCACTTTCATTTCGTTATGTTTGTTCGAATGAATTATTAACTAAAATCATCTTTCAATGTCGACATCTTCTTCATTTGACTTGTCTTCGTTTTATCGAATGTTTCTTTGAACGCTGCTGTAAAACTCATTATGATACTATTAATTCTATTTGGACTCTACCAAAACTTACTCATTGTCTATTAGACTTCAAATTTCTGCATAATGATCAAACTTCTTTTATGCCAATCTCTGTATCTAAATCTATTAAACATGTGTCGCTTCCGCCTGTCAACTGGCAATTGAATCAATTCGTTGAATTATTTCGATGTACGCCGAATATTCGTCATCTAGATGCTCGTATGTCTGATGGTGCTGCCGATGGCAAACAATTGAAATCTCCTGTTCAATCTATCATTGCATTGAATCTGTTTGTTTCTCAATTCTCTAAAGGAATGTTTAATCTGTTACAAAACATGCCGAACCTGTTATGTTTAATAGTCAAAACATCAGGTATGATTATCAATGGTGATCAATGGAAACAAATTATTGTTGATCATTTATCGAAACTCAAAATATTCAAAATCTGCATGCGTTATCAACTGAATAATGGTAATGATAAGGAAAAAGAAATTGATCGTTTATTCGATTCATATCGTACTTCATACTGGCTTAAGGATCGTCAGTGGTTCGTTCGATGTCAATGGACACCAAACGACACTACAAGCGACATTTTTCTCTATAGTTTACCTGATTTGTCAGATTATTTTGTTATTCAACCATCTAGCTGCACTATTCGCACGAAATCCACATGTCCATGGGAATACGATTATGAGAAAGATGATGATCATGCATCGCATTTGATTCACTTGATGTTCACTCATGTATGTTTTTCGAATATTCGACATCTTCATCTAACGCTACCTTTTACTGATATTTTATTGTCTGATTTGCCACGATTCGATCGATTGATTATTCTGCAAGTCGGATGTTTTCCTCTTATCGATACTAATATGGCTGGATGGCAACTTCAAAATCTTATCAATCGAGCACTTTATCTATATTCATTGGAAATACTGGCCTGGTTTCCATTGATTATTCAAGAGATACCTTTGAATCTCACCAGTCATTCAATTCGATCACTTTGTTTTCAAAATGCATGCTGTTCACTTAGTAAAATAAAAACTTATTTCGACGATCAAAGATGTTCTGCGTTGATTCGTTCACCATTAGCTATTCAATGTGAATTCCTTTCTATTATCGTCAACAAGCGAAAAAATATTCTGGATTTGGTTAATGGACTACCCAATCTTCGAGCATTAAATATCCAATGTCAAGATGACAAATGGAAAAATAAATCGACATTATTATTGATCGATGACGACGAACTAGTCGAATGGCTACGCACTCATTTATCATGCGTTATCAACAGAGATAGAACATTTACTGAATGTATTCATCTATGGATTCGTTAATAAACAAAAATGAAATGAAAGATTTTCATTTTTCATTTAGAAAGAGATGAAAATTTCAACGAGTTTTCTGTAATTTGTATTCTTATTAAATAAAATTCACATAGTTCATGAAAGCATCTTCAAGAAAGAGTTCTGTCTGCTTAATATAATTTTTGCAGTTTCCCGGAAACATGCATCTGGATCACTGAAAAATAAAGACATATAGTAAATTTGAACAATTTCGAATAAATAGAATCAAAGCTCTACCGCATTACTCGTTCAAAGCAGCCTGATTTCATCACATAAAACATCTTTGTAGAGTATTGCGTTATTGCTATTATCTTTTCTTGAAAAGGTGAGTGAAGGTTAAATAAGCTGCTTACACCCACACTTTCGTGATTACTAGTGTTGGCTTGGGAAACGTTTATTATAAGGAGTCTATTTGCTAAAATGTACTGGTATGTCTTCTACATAATCATGTAATTTATCCGAATATGATGGATTATAGAATTCTGGCAGAATATTTTTCTTAAAATACTGCTCAAAACCAATAAAACTTGAAAATTATTGAAACATATTCAAAAAGTAAGAAACAATATTGTAATAAGCGTCTGAACATGTTTGGTCTCTTCTTTCTCCTTGTTTAAATATCCTTCAATGGATCATTTGTATCATAATTCAATGGATAGTAAAACAAAAACGTTGCTCATTTTTCACGTTTTTATCAAGCATATAGTTTTTAAAATAATAACATTATTTCAGTGTTTTATGTTTACATCCACATCCACTCTTCATCAACAAGAACAAAATCAAAGCCAAATCGACAATATTGGCGTTGAACAATCAGCATGAAAATCGCTTCGACGAAACTTGAGATCAGTTTTTGCAACGAGCCGTCAATATAAAGAATTACTGTACGACAAGATATTACGTTGTTCATAGTTGATTTCGGTACAGAGTGACACTAGATAGGGCCAATGACGAAATTGTTAATCTTTACTATCATCATCGCTGAAGAGACCGATGAGACAACACAAGAAAGATGATTCCTGCAATGGAAGCGAAAGTTGTAAGTAGCGAACATTCAGAAACGAGTGTCTATATTTCGGTTTCGTCAGTTAAACGACGATGAATAATTAGATCATGTATATAAAGGTGTGGATGAGCAGCATTCCAGATGGCCAAATTAGTTAGAAAAACAATTGAAAAGTGTGTCGTAAAAACTTCTTAAGGCTTCCCTCAAAATAAAATCGCTTACTGATTTTCGCTTCGTCAGCTTGTGAAAACTCAATCTCCACCCTAATATGTTGTATGAAGCTGAAAATTTTTGGGAACACTGCGGATGGGTCATCCTCGCACTACTGGAAATTTCAGCTAGATTCCTCGTTCTTGGCTAGAGATATAACAATTCTACTACACATGTCTTCTTATGTAAAATGGCTTTCCCTATCTCCAGTGTCATTCGACCACACTTCAATATATAGTCAAATATTATTTTTTTCTGTTTTCAGTCAATTCATATGAAGATAATTCTGAGAAAAACAATTTATCACTACAATAAGATAAGTCTTAATTTAGAATTTTCCATTGATTTCAGACAATACAAGATGAAGAAACATGTATAACAATATTTCAGAACAATTTTTCGACTATTGAAAATAATTGATTTATCGAATCATTTACAGAAATATTTTTCCTTTCTATTCACATGTTTTCATGTCTTGTTGAAATTTCGATCATCACTAAATCTTCTTATTTTTCTCGAGTGTTTCGAAAAGAATTGTTCAATATCTAAACAAATGTTCAATCGCTCAAATGGATACGAATAGTTTTATCGATAATTTGAATAGAAGATCAATTAATACTCAGATTTTTCAAGAGGATATTTATCGTAAACAAATACATTTTCTTTTTTTTGATATGAAGATGTTCAACATAAAATAATTTCTGAAGAAGAAAATAATCAAAGATTATTCAGAAGAAATATGTTAAAAATTCTTTACAAAGTCAAATTTTCAATTGATCATAATTTGATTTGACACAACATTTTTTTTCAGTAACAATTCAGGATTTCTTGTTTAAAATCTTCATCAATTCTATAAAACTTTGATCATCTTATATTATGTTTATATGACACATCTTTTTCAAAGAATTCATTTCATCTCTTTGATTTTTATTTACAAATAATTAACATTAAAAGATAAATTAACAAAGATGATAAACCAAATAAAATGTTATTATTGATACTTGTAAGAATGACAATCATTTCACTAATCACAGAAGATCAATTCAATGTGATTATTTCTTCTATCAATCAAGTAGATTTTATTCACAGGATTCTGCAGTATAACATCTGTTGAACAAGTGATATTGTCTAAAGATTCATTAATGTTATCAATCATAAATGTCCAACAAATGACATAATTGATCTTATAATTAATAATCCATCGAAATATCAATGAAGAGAATTCTAAACATGTGTCTTTTGTTAGTTTCTCATTTCTATTCGAATGAAGAACAACTAAAATATAAGACAATGTATTAGATCTGATGATGACAATAGAATAGTTTCTTATGTGAATTCTGTTTGAAATTGAATAATAAAACACAAGATCCTAAACAATATCGAGTTCACTTGATGATGCATTGTGAAAAGATAAATATATGCTCGTTTATATGAAGGTTTATAATTGGAATTAATAAAGATATGCGATGATTTTAATAAGAAATTCTTATGAAGAAAACTAAAGTATTTTTTTTTATTTTCTTGAATAAATTTTCATCGATCTTTTCACGTCGAAAGAAAAACGATTTTCGATGAATATTTGATGTATTTCTTATCTGATAGGTGTTTTTCTTCTATACAATTGTAAAGTATCGAAAATAAACTTTCTTATTGTAAAAAAACAAATTGTTTATGAAAATCTAAATAAATTTATTGAGAAAGAGAGGAACGCTGAGAATAATCTTTCGAAAAATATTTGTTTTATTAATGATTTTATGACAATAATTAAATTCTAATTAATCTTTATAATAAAACTATTCGACAACACATCAAAATACAAACAAACAAGATAATATAATTGTGTATTATTCTTTTCTGAACCATTATCCTTCTGCGAAGACGGCATTGCTTGAGAAAGATCTTGATGCACCAGACATAACATGAGATTTGCTATATTCATCAATTGTATACTTAAACTATTTCTCACGTTATATCCACTTTTTTGTTATCGCTTGCTTTGTGGGTGGGTGTGGATGTGGATGTGGATCAGCTGAAGGACAAGATGTGCACCTGCGCAAACACCCGCACGTACATGCACACCCACATCCACATCAGAGCTGCCAACAGGCCACTTTTTTTAGCCTGGCCTGCAGGCGCCTGTAGGTCAAATCAGGCGAACTGATGTTTCAGACTTTTTATTATTATGAAATTTACAAATTAGCATTAATCCATTGTATACGCTTCAATTTGTGATCCGACTTGCTTTCATGAGAGCAATAGAATATAGTATACCAATGCTCAACTAAGAACATTCATGAATCAATTTTAAGATCGGTTTTATGAAAATCTTTGACACATGAATATGGGCCTGTGTTTTGAAATGAAACACTTTCAAACATGTAGTCAATCAAGCAGATGTTGAAATTTAGGAATTTATGTGGAGATATTTGAATTTTTTTGAAATAAAATTATAACTAGATATATATGGAAATTATCGATTATCTTGAAGACTTGCTAATATGTAAGGTATATTCAATCTCAAATGCGTACGAATGAGAACTTCTCAAAATTAGCTTAAAACCGTCTACTAATCTTACGGTTTGATGACTTTTATTCACACGATAATTTTACGAGTGGACAGGACTTAATCCTTCATCATTTTCAATAAACGAAAACCTGAATTCTATTCTAGTTTATACCAACTCTTGGAACCATGAAATTCTTTAACTGAGTAATGCGATCTTTCTTAGTATAATATTAAATAAGTAACAAGAATTTTAAATAGTTTTGACACAAAAAGTGCTAGAAATAATTGTAGCTGTGTATCATCAAAGGAGAAAATTCAAAAAGAAATTGAAAAATTCTAAATGTCCGAGAACTGAAAGTTAATAGTAACAAACACGGTCAAAGACAGAGCTGTCAGCCTGGTCTGCCGGCCTGCCAGATTGCCAGGCCAGGCTAGATTCACCTTGGCCTGCAGGCCAGGTCAGGCCGAAACTTGTGGCCTGAACGATATGTAGTCAAATCTTTTGTGCATTGATCCATTCTGATTCGAAGTAGCATTGCAGATTTAAAATACTTAGACAAAGTTATTGCAGTTAAATTTTTATTTTAAAATGAATAACAAATTTTAAAATGACATTCTTTAATTTAAAAAAAACACCTGTTGCATGCCTCGGTGCTCGATGTTTTATGGGAGTCTTTGTAAACAGAATTGAGAATGTGTGACCTCACTATGTCCTGCGATGAATGACAATGATGATCATTAGTGATATTCAATTGTCTCATCCATTCTATTCCAGTATTAAAAATGAAAATTCAAAGTGGCACCTAACTCCAAGAGTTTACATCAACTCAAAAAGGCTATATTTTTTCTTTAGAATATATGATTCTTGTAAACTAATTTGCTTGTTTTCGTATTTTTATGCTGACTTATGATTAAATTAGAATGTGCCCCAATAGGGAAGGATAATGTATTCTTATACAAAATGAAATTGACAAATAATAAAACCCAACAAACATCATTCAGCAAACAAAGAGAAGCAGTAAACATTTGTGACTTAGATTAATACTGTTTGCTATTTTTCAATCTTTATGTTATATTTATTATAGTATATGTTTTTCTCTGTTGTGGAACAACCCTGATGAAAGCAGAATGGCTTTGAAGGAATAACTGTCTGTATAAGCAAGACTATTTTTTTTTCAGCAGTGTATCTTTTGATTTTCTATTTCTTGGAAAAGTGCGCAATTTCATCATCTTAATTGAGGAGAAATATGCGATCACGACTAGGGTGAGAGAATGAAAAGAAATCTGATGCACATTGTACAATTTTATCCCTGAAAGTAGTAAAATATTTGATAAATTTGTTCTGTTCTCTCAAAAGTCTGCAGGCCAGGCCAGGCTGAAAAAAAGTGGCCTGTTGGCAGCTTTGGTCAAAAAACCTTATAAACCATATAAAAACGTTGATTTGACTTGATGATCAACAGAAAATATCAGAGGCAATCATCATCGACTCGTGAAGTCATCTTATTCTTAGAATTGAATACTGTAAATGTTAGTATTAAATCAGACCCAGGCTAAGAACTTTAGTCTGGTCTGGCCTGCAGGCCAGATCAAAAATTTTCTAGCCTGATCAGGCCAGGCTATCAGCTTTGATCCACACCCAACACTACCACATCCACACCCACATCCTTATCTTTCAAAATAAAAGAAAAAACAAATCTCTTTTTCATCTTTACCTTTAATTGATCTTAAATCAAATCCGGATGATATTCGTCAATCTCTTTTACTGACTTGTTTAACAACAGGTTTCTTTTATGCAACAAATCATGGATTAGATTTTTTACAAAGTGAAATGTTTTCCATGGCAAAAGAATTTTTCGTCTTTCTCTGAATGAAAAACTCGTTTATTCATTGAATACGACACTTTATCAAGGTTATTTAAGAATTGGTCATGAAAAACTTGATTCAGCTAATTTCAAACTTACTGATGGAAAAGAAGCATTTAAAATTCGTCAATCAGATGTAATTAATAAAGATATGTTACCTAGTATATTTTCTCATGAGGAAAATTTCAAAATAATCGAACAATTTTTTCGACAAGGCTATGATCTTTGTACGCGTCTATTTGAATACTTAGCTGAAACGTTTTTCAAATTGATCGAGATTATTTTACATCAAAACATAACTGGACTGACGAAGAGATGTAGTCATTTTAAGGAGATTTTTTACAGAAAGCAAAGTTTGTCCAAAAAAGTCTAGACACAGAGATCCAAACTGGAATTGTGCCTAATAGCAGACTTGTTAGTCCTGAAAGTTTCAACGAAAACAAATGTACCTTGTCCTAATTTCATCAAAATTTTCTCATATTCATAACATGTAGTCGAACAGCGTTCGAAAAATAGCATAGGTTCTCTCGTAAGATAATTTTATATTATTGTTGAAGGGCGCTCATTCAGATGATGGATCACTTACATTTGTATTTCAACATGATAATAAATCTGGTCTTGAAATATTTGATCGTTCAACAAATGTTTGGCATCCAGTTGAAGCTCGTGATAATATGATTGTAGTCAATTTTGAAGATGTTTTTTAATATTGGAGTAAAGGAATGATTAAAAGTACAATTCATCGAGTTATTGCATCAAATATTAATGAACAAAATTATTCTCGATTTTCTATTGCCTTTTTTGTGATCCAAATGGAGATACATTACTTGGTCCTATACCATCTAAATTGATTGAAAATCGTATTTATACAAAAGATGAACTTGCAAAACGTGTTTTTAGTGATGATGATAACAATAATGGATATGTTTTAACTGTGTATTGAATTCATTTTTTCTTATATTAATTTTGTAATTTTTCAAAATTTTAAATAAAAGAAAATTCGTTATTCTTTACTACGACATTGCAATATTTAGAAATAATTCTCTTTGACTAATTTTGTTGGGAAACAAAATTATTTTTGACTATTTAGTGAATAAGAAAAAAAATCATCGAATTTTATTTTTGTTTCATCTTTCAGATCAATAAAGTAATTAAGTATAACTGATTGTGTTGCCTTTTTCTCATAGATAACGATAAGAAAGAAGTGCATTTGTATCAAGTTTGAATTGATTTTAAAATGAGTCGTCAATGTTAGATAAAGATAAGTATTACTCATATTTAGTTTTTAACGACAGATTTAATTCATTTCATAGTTTTTAATTGGAAAAGATTTTTCAGAAAATCAAAACCATTTTGTTCCAATTTTTCCAGAAACTAATTAATTAATAATCGGAGAGAACTACAATCACTTAATAAGACTATTCCTAAGAATAATAAGGATCTAAATATCAGAAGTTCTCTCTTTGTCTTCACTATTATTGCTCTTATTATTAATATTTATGATTTTGATGTTAATAGTGTTAACTTTGAGGGTGTGGGTGTCAATCTTCACTGAATTCTTAGCCAGAGTTAGGCCAACACCCACTCCCACACCCAAGACTCACACTCAAACCCAAACCTATTTTTTTTCTCTTCATGATCATTGATAGAGAATCATCTAATCTGTTTACAATGTACGATTAAGATTATATTCAATAGATCATTAAAACGGAATGTGTGTTCACATGTGAGTTTCCTAAGGCTTTGATTCTTTTGCTTGACTCAAATGTTCAAAACAGGAAAAAATATGTGAAAAAAGAAAAAAGATGACCTTCACTGTTTATGGTATCCTTTAAGATATCAGTAGTGTCAAACTTGAAACTTGAATTCAATTATTGAAAAGTTGTTTCAACTATTCAAGTATTCAATAATTGAATACTTGAATTCAAGTTTCAAGTTTGACATGTACGAAAAAAAACTTGGCAAAATCCTAGAAATTAGAAACAAAACAAAATATAAGCTTAAATTCAGATTATACTTGATTAAAAATTGTACAATTTCAAAATTTTGATATGGACTTAAAGAAATAGTCATACCCATAATTACACCCATCGAAGTGACATTCTAAATATCGATTGCCTATGATAGTTTCATTTTTTTAATGTCAATGTGACAAGATGAGGCCAAATGAAAAGAGCCCAATAAGTAGGTTTTTTTTCTTTTTCTACAGAAACTTTGATGTTACTATGCTACTACAATACATTTTTCATTCTTTGATCAAAGTAACCTCATATTGAAAGCGACAACCTGGAATAAATTAAATTGTTTTTTCGCATGTTTACCGTTGAATGTATGTTTGCAATGGAAACATATTTTGCTTTAATGTTGTGCTTATTATTTTGCAATAGTTAACATCGTTCTGTTCTCTTTCAGGCATCTACAGA